GGGTTGGGACTTGGGGAAAGGAAGTGGGAAGCTCAGAAAACTGTTGTCTACCCGCTGAGGCCCTCACTCCGGGGGCTTTTTCTGCCTAAAGCGGCAGGGTTCCCCCCACCCCTACTTCAAGGCAACTGGGTGTGGAATAAGGAGATGGGAGACCAGAAGCTTCCAAGTGGCTGATGGACAGATAAGCCAAGCAGAGCCAGGGAACCAGTGAGGAGGAGGCCTCATGGAGGTCAGACAGCAATCCCCCTCTCACTATACACATGGCAGCTTTAACCCTTCCCTCCCCCCCACCCCCACCTTTCTGGAGTCACTAGGAAGAACACGAGTGTGATGCTGGGAAAGATGGACAAGAAATGGGACGAGGAAGAAGTGAGAAACTGGCCCAGACACTCTATCCTGCACTAGAGAAAACACGTGAGCCCAAACCTGACCCCTCACCCCACCCTAGTACTCCAGTGCAGGGAGAACCCTGAGGCTGCACGCCTGTGAGAACCTGGCAGTTAACACACATTCCCAGGGCACCTGAGGAGCTGGGACACAACGGCAGAAGAGGGAGGTGTGGCCGGGGCTCTGGCTGGAGGAAGGGGCACGGGAGAGCAGCTGTGTGCAAGCGCCTTGCCCACACAGGTCCCCTGGCATGGCTTTGGGAGAGCAAGTGGAGCGCTCAGACAAGGCTTTAGTGTAAGCTTTGACCGCCCTCACTGGTTTAGGGCAAGGACTGGGACTGCTCTATCCCCATACCCAAACAACAAAAAGCATCAAAAAGAGGGGCGCCTGGGTGGCTCAGTCAATTAAGCATCCGACTCTTACTTTCAGCTCAGGTCATGATCTCTTGGTTCATGAGTTCAAGCCCTTTGTTGGGCTCTGCGCCAATGGTGTGGAGCCTGCTTGGGATTCCCTCTCTCTGCCCCTCCCCCCCCCACACATGGATTCTCTCTCTCTCAATAAATAAATGTATGTTATGTATATAATATGTATGTATATAAATGTATGTATATAAAGGCGTCAAAAATAACCAGGAGTACATGATGCCGAGTCACTGGTCCTTCTGAATGAAACAGAAGTGGCCCTGTGCTCTGACGGGGCATGTCATGGTTAGATGGAGAAGGACAGCAGAGAAATGAAGGTCTCCAGCAATGAGCATGTTTAACTCTTAACAGTAGAATTCTGGCACTCAAAGCCTGACTGGGGCACCCTGAGGCAGGGTCCTTGCCTGGTATGTAGTTCCCACCAGGGAAACGTGGTGACTGAGGCCTGAGGAGACGGCAGAGGAAGGGGAGACCTTATGCTTTAGCATTTCAGAGGGCTTGAGATGTGCTTGGCTTGACTTCAAAGTGCTAGCCTCTTCCTCAAGCTCCCCTAGCATGCCTGGGGGAGAGCAGGGCTGAGAAGATGTGGAACAATTTCCCCTGCCCTGTAGAGCCAGGTAGAGGTTCCATCTGTCATGGGGTGTGTGTGCAGGGCACGGCCAACCCAACAGGCCACCAATAGCTCAGAATTGAAGAGAGACTGGCACGAGAGACCAGACCCTCACAGCACAGGTACCTGGCTAGCAAAGAAGTGCCCGATAATTCTGACGATCACTTCCTCATTTTCATCCGGCGTTTGGTCACGAGGCACGATGACTTCTGCACTGGTTAAGTTCTGCAGTTCGTTCACCTGTGAAGGGAGAAAAGCGGGGTCAGGAGGCAGTGGGAGAGGGGTGTGCTGGAGGGCAAGGCAGCTAGAGGCTATTCTCCTTTCCTTCAGTCTAGAACATGTCCGGGGGCTTCCCAGTCCCTGATCACATGGGATCAATGGGAGGCCCAGGGAGGGTCCAACCTCCGACTGCCTGGAGCTCCTTTTGGGGCTGAATTCTTATTCTGGAGTCTCCGCAGTGTGGTTCCTGCACATGCTCGCAGTGACCCAGGCTCTCCCAGCACCAAGGAAGGAAAATCACCAAAGTAAACTTTCCTTTCTAATCAGACCTTGCTCTGATGCCTGCTCTTCATTTTCATCCCTGCCTCCGAGTCCTACTTATGCTGCTTCAGCCGCTGGATTGTTACCTTTTCTCCCTGCCACTCCAGTTCCGTGCCGGTCACCTGCGGGAAGTGGCCAGCCCGTGCTGCTCTCCCTCACCTGCAGCCCACCCCCTGCACTCCGGTGCTCCTCCTCACCAGCCTCAACAAGCCAACACTGCCCGGGGTTCACCCCAGGCCCTGGCAGGATGCTGAACACACAGGTGGGGTCTGCAAGGCCCGGTGGACAGCTCACAGTCTCTGGGGGGCAGTGTTGGCTTGATGAACAGAATTCACGGACAGGTTCTAAAATGACCAAATAGGAGATCAAAGGGCTCAGGAGTCTAATCCCCCATGGGCCATTTGCTCTCTCTTGCCTAGGGCATCCCAAGTGGCCTAGAGCTGGTGTGTGCCCTCTGATACTGGTCACATTCCTGGTTGTGGGGAGTAATCCGCAAACCATTCAACTTTCTTCTTTTGTATAAAGGTGACTCACTGTATGTAGAACTTGACTTTGAGTCCTTAGTAAGAATTTCTGTGTAAAGAAAATAGCAGGCGTGTGCACATGCACACACATACAACTCTAGAGATCCCTCAAATTCCTGCCACTCAACACGGTCACCTTGCTAGTGTACATAGGCTCTCGGGGTCATATCCCCACCACGTAAGTTCATGTTCTAGATCACTTCTGTGTCTGACAGAACTATCTGCTCATTCCTACAGGCTTCAGAATTGATCCTCTGGCACTTTTCAAATTACTTTGTGTTGCTGCCACCTTCATGTTGAAAACCTTCATTGCTTTTTCTTTTTTGTTTTAAAGTATTTCCTTTTTTACCCACCACGCGGTTGCTAACCTAGCTCCCTTGTAACAGGTGGGCAGGTTTGGGAAAGAGCCAGAAGACAGAATCTGCAGGATGGAAAGTTTGAAAAGTGAGGGGAGAGTATAGGACACCAGACCCTGCAGGCCTCTGAACGTGAATTTAGAGAAGATGACAGTCTGCTAAGTAGGTATACACTGGGTGGAGCTCTATTCCCTAGTGTTTTCCTGCTGTTCTGTGTGGGTTTAAAGGGGCCAGGAGGCAGCCTCCTCCTCTTCAGGGAGGACCTTCACTTACCAGCATGTAGCTGAGATGTCCTATTTCTAGGCACAGAACCCTGGTGTTTTTGGTGGCCTGGCCCAGTACCACGGATTCGGGGCCCTCGGCTCTGGAAGAATGTCCTTCCAGAGCCAGTGGGGGTCTCAAGGACATCGGGTCAGGCTGGGGCAGGGAATGGGCCCAGGAGATGAAGCCAGCTCAGAGCAAACTTACGGTTTTGCCGCCCTTGCCGATCACCCGGCCAGCTGTAGAAGAGGGCACTCTGATGTGCGCTTCCAGCTTCACCTCTTCTTTGGGGTTAAAGAAGTTTTCTTCCTTCAGTTTCCCAAAGATCCGCCCCTGGGCCTGAGAGAGCAAGGCGTGACCGCTTCGCCGTGCTGCTGCCAGAACCGGCCGGGGAGCCCAGGCCTGCACACCCCCAGCCCCGAATTCACTGGGGCCACCACGGGGGAGCTGTGTACCCTGCTTCCCTCCTTCAGAGACCTGGCTGTTCCTGCCACACTCAAGGAACGTACCTGACCGCTGCCTCTTGGAAGCTTGTGTGTGGGGCCGGGGGTGGTGGTGATGGGGCAGAACTAGGTCTTAGTTCCCTTATCCACAGCACCTACGAACGCCTGGCTGAATGAACCTGTCCAGGGGACTCTTAACTTCCTCCCATCATGGTATTTTTAGACCCCGGGTTACAAAAGGATGGAGGCGAGGTAGGTGGTGACTGGGGATGCTTTCTGATGTCTTAACTCCAGCCAGGGAAGCTGAGACATTACGGTTTAAGACAAAAAAACAAAAAAACTTTAACAATTGAGATATAATTCTTACAGCCTAAAATTCATCATTTTGAAGTATACAGTCCAGGAGTTTTCTGTGTATTCACTACATTAAGCAGCCAGTACCACTATTCAGGACATCTCCATCCCAGTCCCCCGGAGCAAAACTCCATACCTAGCAGGCAGTCCCCATTCGTCCCTTCCCCAGCCCCTACTTTCTGTCTCTGGATTTACCTTTGCTGGACATTTCGTATAAAGGGACTCTCATAATATGCGGCCTTTTGTGTCTGTCTGCTTTTACTTCATGCAGTGTTTTCTAGGTTTATCCATGCTGTAGCATGCATCAGAATTTTGCTCCTTTTTATGGCTGACTAATTTCCTACTGAGTGCATAGATCACATTTTGTTTATCCACTCATGAGCTGAAGGGCTATTCTTCTTAAATGTTTTCACATGTGTTAATGTTTTCTCAAATTTTCAGTATTTTTAATGATAAGGACTATACTTTTATAAATATGTTTCTTTTAGAAAACTCAATTTATAATTTTCCCAGGGGAGAAAAAAGGGCAAAAACAAAATGCATCCGACCAAACTCCCAACAAGCTACTGCTCTTTCCCCTTACACCCCATGGTTATGCCCCCACCGCTTGAAGGGTATAAAATACTAAAGGAGTCTGAGATACTTATCCTCAAAACTGTGGCTAAGGGGTCAGAGATAGCCCAGAGGAGTGTCATTTGAACTAGGCATTGACAATCTACATTTCCATGAGAGAGAAGGGAAGGAGTGCTCCAGGAAGCAGAGCTCCAGGGAACAACCTGGAGGTAGGCAAGACAGCATGAGTCTGAGACTAGTGAGCAGCAGCAGGAAGAAAAATCGAGGCTGGGCCTCGCAAAGAAGTCTTGAACATGCCTCTGAGATGGCCGCCACCTGCTAAAGGCCCTAAGCTACTGCAGGGCTGAGGTGGCCCCTGGCACTGACCTTGAACTGGGCTTCAGGTGGGCCGGTGATGATGACCATTCTTTCGCTGACATCTGGGCCTTCCGCCGGGGCAATCTGCAGTTTACAAAGCAAGAGGAAAATGCTGCTGCCGGGCTGTGGTCCCCAGTCCCCTCTCACATACTAGCAAGGGATTATGGTGTGGTTTCTGCCTTTGCAACTGCTGCTTTCACTCTGGGTCTTAGGAAGATACCACCATAGTGCCCAGTATCAAATTTGGGTCTTTGACCATCCAGGCAGACTTGGAAGCAGTGCAAGGAGTTCCTGCCCGTCCCTGCCCCGAGCACCTGCAATGACTGGCCTCCTTTTACCGAGCCAAGGGAGTCAAGAGCTCTAGGAGGAAGAAGGAGGTGTAGGCTCAACCAGCCCACCCAGGGCCCCGAGGGGGTAAGGGCTAAGTCCACAGAGGCACTACTGTGGAGCCAACTTGCAGGAAAGGCGCCCCTGGTTCCAGTTCTCAGCTCACAGAGGCAACTGGCTGCAAGGGAGAGTTGAGCTAGAGCATGAGTGGCCAGGACCAGCTCCTCCACGGCACAGGAACCAAGGGTGACAGCACCAGAGCAAGGATGAGGTCACCCTGGTCCCAGTGTCTGCTCTGCAAATCCCTCCCCTCCCCGGCCTCCATGTCCTCATCTGTGAAATTTGGAGGTGAAATCTGGCAAGCTCAATGCTGCCTTCTATTTGTGAGTCTATCTGCTCTATTTGTGATTCTGAGTTCTCTTGTAACACAACTCAATGACAGACCAAGCAAGCATGATTTTTTGTTGTTGTTGTTAGACTCATTTTATATTCTTTTCTGCATACCCTGCCTTACTCTGAAAATCATTAAGGTAGCTTTGAAAATGAAAACAGTGTAGCAAAACTAAAGTTAATTTAAAATGAGTTAAGGGTACACCATTTAGGAATGAGTCAAGCGTGAGGTTAGTACAACTGTCTGAAATTCACCAGCTAAGACCAGCAGTCCAAGAGCTACTCCTGTGCTCCTGCAGCTTTGGAATGACATTCCACCGGCAAACTCCCTCGAGAGCACCAGGAAGGAGAACCCTGTTTTATCACTGAAACAAACAGGACCCGGAGGGGAGGTGACTGCCGAGATCCCAGGGTGAGCAGGGGCGGGAGTAAGGCTCAGGAGATTTGTGTGGCATTCTGAAGCCTGCCGGATGCTCTGTAGGGCAGAGTGATGGGAGCCCAGCTGTTGTCTGTAACCAAGGCATCTTGGGGTGTTATCTTCCCGACCTCACCTCAACCCAGCCCCTGCCAGCACTCAGCTCCCACATATAAGTGTACAGCTCTCTCCCTGCCCTGGGAGCATCTCCCTGTGCCTGTAGCTGTGGTCTCTGAAGACAGGCAAAGCAGGAATGGAGGGTTCCTTAGAGTGAGATTATCCATTTTGCTTTAGAGAAAATGCTTTCAGTCCTGTTGAAAATAACAAAGCCAGGTCTGATTTTTAAAAGTAGAAAGCTTCTCTCACCAATACTTGGCTTCTGTGGTTTTCTCTCCTTTACTGCTATGGAGACAGGCAGGGATCGGGAAAGAAGGCAGCAGCTGGAGAAGCAGGATGTTGTGTGCAGCATAAAGGATGATGGGGTACTGCCAGCCTGCAGAGCCCGTTCTGTTCCCCTGGTCCTGCCCTGCTGTGTCTGCCCATCAGAGGCCATGAGTCAGGCGATACACCCCTGCTCAACCTTGCTGGGACATAGAAGGATGGTGGGGACGCCGTGGGGTGGAGCCCAAGGGATTGCCCTCTCTCTTAGTTTCCCGAAGGCCAGCTGGGAGTGACTCTGGTATAGCACTCAGGTTGCCGAGGTGGAAAAAACACTGGACCAGAGATCAGATCACCTGGTCAAACGTCGGCTCTTGTATTCTTTACCTTCGTGACCTTCAACACTCAGTGAAACCCTCTGGGCCCTGTTCCTCATGGGCAACAGTAAGTGGGAAGCAAGTGCTCCGGCCAGTCCCAGTGGTGCTCAGCACACTACAGGGCAGCACAACCGATGAGGTCAGGGCCGGTCCTGCCACTTGTGTGCCTTGGCCTGGTCGCTGGGCCTCTCTAAGTCCCACTTTTCCCAGGGAAAAAGAGAGGATTTCATGTCCTAATCCCTTGAGCCCCTTTGAGTTGAAATCATCTCCTTCTGTCTCCTGCACGGTATCTCAGGCCACATGACTGGACACAGGGAAAGGCCCTTGGGGGCAGCCGGCCCAGTGGTCCTCCACGCTGTACCTGTCCTGCCACGGCTGCCGGCATGTGGGCTGGGGTCTTAGCTGCAACAAGCCTGTTAGAAGCCATGGCCCCCCGTGTGCTGCGCTGCAGTCCGCCCGCACCTCAGGGCTCCAGCCTAGACTCTGCGCTTGGCAGGTAACAGAGCTGAGGCCTGAGACGGGAAATGATTTGCCCAAATAATACTCTTTGATGGTCTCGCTGCAATTCTTGTGCTGTACTACTCAGAATGTTTTGTTTTTGCTTTTTCTCCAGCACACTTGCTGTGGGAGAAATTCCAGCTCTTCTTGTGGAGAAAGCGCAAGCATTCTTTCTCTCCAAGTCATGAGACTTCTCGCTCGGAATTCCGGGTTGTCCCATGGTAGCAAATTATTTTACGTAACAACGGAAACTCTGTTTTCAAAAGAGTTTCATGAGGCTTGGGACGTGCTCAGCATTCTGCCTGTGAGTCAGAGCCGATAGCTGGGCTTGGAGCAGGACCAGGGTCGAATAATCCTTCCCTTTCAGCTTCTCGGGCGCTTCTTCACATGGCGCTCGAAGGGGCAGGATGTGGGTCTGTAACTACACTCACCACCATTTCCATAAATCAAGGGGCCTTCCTTCCTGAGCCGCTCTGTGCAGTCCCAGGACTGCCTGTCCGGCTGTGATACCAGCTTTTGTTTACCTACAATTTTATCACTTTTCAAAGAGTTTTTCATCCAAACTACTTTCTTGAGAATTTGTGAAGCAGAGAGACTAATTACAGCGTCAAAGCACTGATAACAGCGAAGTGAAAATGATGCTCTGCTGAAGTCCGCTCCCTTAGGTTGGGGAAAAAATCCTCAGCCTTTTTCTTTCCTCCCTCCCTCCCTTCCTTCCTCCCTTCCTTTTTTCCTTCCTTACTTTTTTTTTTTTTTTTTTTTTGCTTTATCTTCTTAAGAAGACTATGGTAGCCCCAACAGGACTGGGTTGGCTTGTCTGTTACTAGAAATTTTTCTAATTCAGTTGTTAGTTGAGCAAGAAAGGAATGAGAGAGGTAAAGATGAGAGCAGATAGGATTAATCTTGGGGGCCAATTTGCCAGATCCTGTGGGAGTCTGTCCCCAGAAGGAGTCAGCGTTGCTCAGGACTAGCAGAAGGAACAAGGCACATGGGGTGGGAAGGTGGTGATGGAAGAAGGCGGGAAACAGGTGGCTGTGGAGAGCAGCTTTACCTTGATGGAGGCCCCAGCGAATCGAGCCAGCTGTTTAATGTGCGCCCCCTTCTTCCCAATGATGGCACCTACAGCCTGGGTCGGGATGAAGAGATTCACAATCTCCTGCTCTGGGTACTGGAAGGGCAGCACAAGACAAGACATCATTCCCACTGGGTTGTTCCATCAGGCACTCAGCAGGTACCTAGCATCTACGACGAGCTGTGTGCTGTGGGAGCCCTAATACCCAAGGAAATGGTCAAAATGGTGCATGGGATGCTCCTGCGGCCTAGGAGCTGCAGGTGTGAGGCCTAAGGAACAAACCTGGGCACAGGGAGCACTACATGACAATCGAAATGGGAACTCCTCTTGAGCAGCTCTGAATTTGCTGGATTCAGAAAGCTGTCTGTTCACAGGCCTTCTGTCATATGCAAATGTGATAGGTACTGCTCGCTCCTGTGTCTTTATCCAAGAAATCAATACTGTTATTAAATATACCTGGCCTGAGGACAGGGTCCTGAGGCACTTTGTTAGAAGAACAGGAAACAACTCTGCACACCTTGTAGCCATGACTGGTATCTTCACCAGAGTGACATCAGGTTCGAAAGAAGATAAGTAAACCTGCCGTGACCATGCCACATGGTGACAGCCCAAAGAGACCAGGGGTCGTCCCCATAGGGGTCTGTGGGAATGACATGACCCCATTTGTTCAAAGACCTTTAGAAATGCTCTTCTTTGCTAAATACTATCTCCTAATTTTATCTCTTGATCATTCGTATGTACCCATTTCCTGCCACCTGTGGATCTGTAAGCATTGGTAGGAGTGCTGACTGTTGGGGTAGTTTGGTGTCACTCACAAGAAGCCCTGGACACACAGGACCCAGCACTCACGCCAGGACGTTCACTGGTCAGTCCACCACAGCCTATGTGGTACCCGCCAAAGGAGAGGGAATAGTGGCCGACGGGCTGAACCGAGGGGCACTTACGGAGTGGTGATGCGGGAACGGCCCAAACTGGTGAGGGGGGTACAAGCTGGAGAAGTATCCGGAGTGAGTCTGCAGCATGAAAGAAATAGTCGGTCAGCGGCTGCCTACAGGGACATTCTCCAAACTCAGGGAGGCAAGATTCCCGCACACAGCACAGGCTCTGCGTACCGTCACCTGGCTCCACCTGGCCCCTGGCAGCTCAGATCTCTGCTCCACTTCTCCCACCGCAGCACTGAATGCCTGGCTGAATGTTTATCACGGTTAAGCTGCACCATGCTTTAGGCCCCTGGGAACTTACCACCACGGGAGTAACTCTTTGGACCTGCCCTCCCTCAGACAGGCAGGCCCAGTGGCTTCTATTTTCTGGGAAGCCACGGACTGTGGATTAAAAGGCACAGAGACAGTAGGACAAAATCTAGAGTTATTCACGGCCAGCAAATGTGCTCCTGGGAAGCCAGGTCTGTGAGCTCCCTCAGAGAGTTTTGAAAGGAATGGAGAGATTGAGAATGGAGGGATTGAAAATGAGGCTGAGAGAGGAGTGATAATGAGTGAATAAATAGCATCATGTGTGAGTGTGAGGGAGGGCCGGGAAGGAACAGGAAGACAAATGTGGATAGAAAACAAAAGAGCTATTACAATAACATTTAAAAAGCAGCTGCTTTTGGGACACCTGGGTGGCTCAGTCGGTTAAGCATCTGACTCTTGATCTCAGCTTATGTCATGATCTCACGGTTTGTGCGTTCGAGCCCTACGTCGAGCTCCACGCTGACCGTGCAGAGACTGCTTGAGATTCTCTCTCTCTCCCTCTCTCTGCTCTCTCTTTCAAAAATAAATAAACTTATGGGGTGCCTGGGTGGCTCAGTCGGTTAAGCGCCCAACTTCAGCTCAGGTCATGATCTCATGGTTTGTGGGTTCGAGCCCCGTGTCGGGCTCTATGCTGACAGCATGGAGGCTTGGAGCCTGCCCCAGATTCTGTGTCTCCCTCTCTCTCTGCCCCTCCCCCACTCACACCCTGTCTCTGTCTCAAAAATAAATGTTAAAAAAATTTAAAAAATAAAAAAATAAAAATAAATGAACTTAAAAAAAAGTAGCTGCTTTTTGTTGAATATCTAATATACAAGGCACTGTGGTAAGTAATTTATTCACAAACTCTTCATCCTCATAACAGGCCTGCAAGACAGAAATAGGTCTGATATCATACATTCGTACAGGCAGGACACTGACAGAATCTGCAGTCTAGTTAACTGCACTTTGCATAAGGCCACATAAATGCTGGCACACCTGTTACAGGAAAGGAGGTGAATGGCTCAGAGCACCACGGGGTCAGTGTCTGCGGACCCGCCCTGCAAGATGACCTCCTAGGCTTCTTACAGGGGTCTAGTGTTTGTTGGAGGGCCCTTGAACAAATCCCGTTGTGTTCTCAGTCTCCCAGATCTCCAGATGGACTTTGAGTTCCATATCACAACTTCATCTTATAACACTAGGGACCAAATGAAAGGGTTTTCCTTTCTGAGCTTGGAGAGTGGACTTCTGGCCTCGGGAAAGAGGAGACATGGACACTGCAGGAGGGGCTTCCCCCACTGTGGGCCTAGGTGATCAGAGGGCTGTGCTTAGGAACTATTATGTAGACGCAAGCCTTTGCTCTCAGGTTTTGGAAGGAAGCTGTAGTGACACCTCACACCCACAAGAGGGTGCTATGAGACCAGCATTGCCTTGGCACCTTCCACTTCTGACTGGAAGCTGAGTGAAGAGGGCTTACCTGGTCCTGCTTCTTCCTTGAAGGGCATTCAGCTCCAGACCCTTCCTGCAGGTCCCTGTCCTGAGCCATGTAGGGTGAGGAGAGAATTTCTGTGGCTTTCTGCTCAAAGCTCTACCTTGGGGAAAGGATGCTTCCCCTTGCTCCCCCTCCATTTCCTCTTGCAGGACATCCTTTCTTTCAGGCCTCAGAGCAGCAGTAATTCTTTTGAATTGTGACTTGCCTTTTCCTCCACAAACTCACATGAGACCAAGAATAGACCAGCCACAGTGTGACTCCTATTCTGGGTTTGAATACTCCCAACATAAACACTGTATCAAATTTAGACCTACCACTTGGGTTAGGAGAGAGAATTAGCTATAAAAGTATAAAAAGGACTAATTCCCCACTCCTCCTTGTGTTCACGAGCTACTACAGTGGGAAAACTTGTGTGTTCATGAGCTACTACAGTGGGAAAACTTGTGGGGAAAGAATCCCAAACTTGGCAGTCAGGAGCTCGTTTCTAGCAGAAGTGCTGGCTTTATGTACGTTAAGTTGGTTTTCGGAATCAGAATACTCATAAGACCTGAGTCTGAATCATCAGTTCCATACAAGCTGGAATAATTTATTCAACTCTTCTGAGCCTCATCCACAAATGGATTAAAATATCATGTCTAGATCTAGAAAATAAAATATCTAGATCTTTTAGAAATTAGATCTTCTAATATGTTGTGAGGGTTCCTTCAATCGTTCGTTCATTCATTTATGAAAAAGATATCTGAGCACCTATCATATACAAAGCACTGTTCTAGGTGCTGGGGACACAGCTATTAAGACAGAAAAGGTCCCTGCTACCATGGGACTTACGTCCTATTGGGGAGACAGACAAGTATTGTGAAAGAAACGAACAGGACGACGTGAGGAAGCAAAGCTTTGGAAATTAGGGTTGGGATGCCAAATTTAGCTGGAACGGCCCAGGAAGACTCCTGAGGAGGTGACCTCTGAGTTGGGCTCCATGGAGGAGAAGGAACTGCACACAAGGCACTGGGGAAGGAAACATTGTAAGCAAGATTCTTAGAGGTGCTGAGCTAGGACAGGGGTTGGCCTTTGGAAAAACAGAAAAGGGGCCGGTAGGGTAAAAGCTGCAAACGATGGGGGGCAGGCAGTCTGAGATCACACAGGGCTTGTGGGCCTTGGTCTGAACTTGGATCTGACCCTATGAAGTACCATGGATGCCCCTGAAGGACGTTACGCGGCACTGAGTGGGGTCACAGGAGTGGAAGGATCTATCATTGGGTACTGTAGGGCTGAATTGTTAGTGTTAAAAGACTACTTACTTATAATGAAATGTATGCTTAAAGCACACGATTTCCCAACCTTCTATGGATGGAGTCTACAATCTCAACTGGAGGAAGGTTTTCAAAACACGCTTCATCACAACCGTCAGAGAAATCACCCGCTGATGACTTGAATAAATGTTCTCTTTAATGGGAAAACAGGTTGCAGCCATCTGATGAACCAAGGGCCCAAGGAGGGGGAGGTCGGCAAGGAAGCCCACCCAACCCAACACAGCAGTTGGTCTCACTGTCCCAGTTTGAGAGTCCGTAGTTATTTTACAAAGGAGAAGCTCTTTTATTTATTATTTTTAATTACTATTTTTTTAGACGCCTCCTTCCCCATGTATTGCTCCCACAGACCCTCCATCTGAAGGTTTAGAAGCCACCAGGAACCACATGAGCTCTTTTTGGTCTTAGGCTGCATCCCAAGATAAGAATTCCAATGCCAGAGAGATGAGGGGGCGGTGAAAAAGCTCCTTTATCTTTAAGAATTTAAGAAGCATTATGACACTAGGGAGTGGGGGAGGGGTGTTACAGTAAAGGTGACCCTGCCAAGTGTGTCCCCACCCCCTGCCAACAGAGGCTGCAAGGTGGGTGGTCATTATTATCCACCGGTTTGTGTTATATTCTCAGTTTGAGGGAAACTGGTGTCTGCTCTTCCTTTATGCTTCACTCTGCTGGGGGGGGGGTAGGTAGAGGAGTATATCAAATGCATTAGTAAAAATTAAAAAAGCAATTATAAACAGTTGGACCTGCTTTTCCTGGAAGAACTGCAGAGTCTTTAGTCCCAAGCTGCTATGTATGACCATAATCATGATGTATGATTTAGGTGACAAACTGAAGCGTGAAGAAATCACGGGGTGGGAAGAGTGAGGGCTGGGAAATGAGCAGTGGACAGAGCAAGTGTCAGGCATACAAATTTCAAATACTGAAACAGCTGTACTGTGAAGAAAGACTGATGCCACATTGCAAAGATGGTGGATGCTCTCCCTTAGGAACCAGGAATGTGGGCATGGGCCTGGGGGGATGACACTGACTCGGCCAGAGGGGTCAGTGTCATGGGCAGAGCCTCTCCAAGATTCAGAAGGTACACCATTCTATGCCAGCTTGTCAAAGGGCCTCTCCACAATGGCTGCTTATCCACCTCTATGTGTTCTCAAGGGACAACCTCAGGAGCTGAGGAAAACTAGAAACTGTTAAGTTAGCAAGAGGCAAAGCCAAGACTGGAGCACAGATCTGTATCTGACTCTGCAGCCCAAGATCTCAACTACTACCCCCAATGCTGCCCCACATGGAACATTCTGAATTCACTGGTTCAGGTGGGGCCCATGGCATGCTATGAAAAAACTCCCCTAAGGATTCCAATATGCCTTCTGTTGAGTTTATTTAAGTATACGAATGGAAAATTAAAATTATTAGGTGTGTATGAAGAATCAGGAGCATGGAAGAAGGGAGCAAAGCCGAGCAAGGCAAACAAATGGCCCAAGTGAATTCATTCAGAAAACAGAACTTTTTAAAAAAATTTGATTTGACTTCATTCATCTGTAAGTATACTGCTATGAGAAAAGATCAATCAGAGACCTAGATTGATTTGGAAAGGAAAAACTCCACAAAGGCTGTATAAATAGCAGAAAAGACACTCCTAAAAAGTCCATCAGTGCATCAGAAGATTAACCCATGCAAAACAAAAAGAAGGAACTGGATATGAGAACGGAGAAGAGCTATAATCCATAAAGTGGGAATTTCAGAAGGACAAAATGAAATGGGGGGAGGGTGGGAGGGAGAAGTAATACTAACATGAAGTACAGAAGCAAAAGATTTTCCTGAACCAAAGAAAAACGTGAATCTTCAGATCAAAGGGCAGAGACTCACATTTCTGAACTCAAGTGTAAAGGCAAAATAGTAAAAAAGGGCAAAAACAAAACAAAACAAACAAACCAAAAAAACTCTTACAGACAGAAGGAAAAAAAAGCAATCTACAAAATAAATCAGGCTGG